GGTAGCATAACTAGAGAGTAACATACAAATAAAAGAAGGAGAGATGAGGATGATAGACGTTTTATAGGAAAGAAGAAGGTACATCAAACCACACCGAGGCACCCGCAAACCACTCACATATGTAGATATGTAGATGTTTTATAGGAAAGAAGAAGCATCAAATTCAAACAACACCAGAGCACCCACCAACCACACAGTTTCCTGCAATGTCCACCCCCCCAAAAAAAAACCACAAAAAAAAAACCCACCCCCCAAACTAACAAACAAAAACAAACAAACCAAAAAACCCCCCAAATAAACCAAAACCCCCCCCAAAGACAAGCCATTTTCTTCAGGGGTATGTACAGATGTTTATTGTTGAAACATTACAGCGCTCCATAACAGAAGCAATGCTGACCCAAATGGTCTCAGACCAGAGAGAGGGAGAAAAAAAACAAAAAAAGTTGAAAAAAAAACAACCAACCAACAAACAAACCCTTTTCAAAGAAGACATTCCAGGTGCATGCAAAGGTTCGAGTCTCATAGCAACATAGTATTAAGTAGACAAACAAACACACGCATCGGCGTACAAACACGTACAGAAATAGAACCTTTTTCTTTCCAGATTCACACACATGCATGAATGCACGCACACACGCACGCACGCACGCGCACACATACACAACACGCACATTTCGAGGTCTCCACATACATCGTGTGTATACTGACTAAAGGAATTCATAACTCATGCATCACATCAGACACTTGTTCTTTACTTCCACACACAGGCATTCTTTTTTATATTTAATGTATAATCACACACAAATCATACACATGTTACATTCATACCCTTTCTACAACCCAAAAACACACAAGCCATACACATATGTACATATCATATATGTAACACACCAATACACACAAGTCGTCAAACCATACACACATAGGCTATATACCTTACATATAACACAAAAAATCATACACGCAATAGCTTACACAGAAATCACACACAAAAATAACTTTACTTATTTTACAAACAAACACATGCAAGTTATACACATGCTATCATTCATATATATTTGTGCATACTCACACACACACATATATATATGGGAAGAGCTGTATTGACTCGTGTAAAAACACACACACACACACACACACACATATGCAGGAAGAGCTGTATCCCCTTATACTCACACGACATATGAAAATCAGCGTCAAATCTCATACATATTTTCCATTAGCATATTTTCACAGCATGGACACAAACAGATCTGAAAGTACCGGTACTCATTTCCTCAACATGTATATCGTCGTTCAGCTGCTAAAATGTAGGCTTACTAAGCACAACAATTTGAATTTAAAAAAAAAAAATCTAAAAATTGCAGTCTCTTAATCTGTGGTATCGGTTTCATGTCTTAAAGAAATATTTTGTCGAAATTCAAATCAAATTCCACATGTTGAAAAAAATATATATAAAAAAATCATAATGTAGAGGCACAATCTGTCGCCTCAGAA